GATGTTTATGTCATTTCCAGATTTTATATATATAACACTCACAAAATACTATGTTGTTTAGAAAACATGAGTACATTTCACGTTTTATCCAAACAAATTTGAACCAACAGAGCACTGGATACACATTGAAGAATTTAACCGAATAATTTCAATTTTTTGTACCACATGAATTACTTTGTCCTTTCATTAAACCAAAAGGTAAGTAGTTTTCCTAATATCACCAACCTCAGCCTATTAAATCAAGTTGCCTTTTGTAAGTGCCATGCCAAGTGCAGGAAAATAGTACTGAGTGAAAATGAGGAATATTTTTCACCTGATATTCTGTAAAGGTACAATAATTGTGGATTTAAATATTGAGGGATTTTCAATCAATTAATTATAGGAGAATAAAATTTGTTTCCACATCCCTTGTGTTACTAATATACGGAAATATTGACTCGTATACTTGATAAACCACTGATCCGTTTTTTTTGTAGATAACTGAAAATGAACTTACGGGTATGGAATGCAAATATTTTGAACCTGTAACTAAATAAATCATTAATAATAAAGTAGTAGGAACACACTCGATAATTAATATTCGTTATAAAACCATTTATTTTACTAAAGATATTTTACCCATAAATAATTAAAATTAAACCCAGTTAATCAGTATGAAGTTAGTTGTAGTCACGGAATGAGACACCAAATACAAAACAGTAGGGAAGCTGAAGGTAATAAGTGGCTGGTTGTTATGTATTGTGTTTTAAGTAAAAAGGAAAATATTGTCTTTCGCAGTAACTCAAGAATAACATCACTATGATTCATGAAAATAAACATCTCGAACCTAAATCCTGTACTGCTGAATATTTGCACAGGATAAGAATAAACACAACTGATTAGTTCTTTGAGATTGTCGATATTTCTTCAGCTTTGCTGGTATGCACCTGAAAACATTCTGTAGACTAAATAATATCCCATAAATCATGTGGTTGTAAAACAATCCCAATTTGTTTAAAAAGTCTTTCTGGAAAAGATCTAAACGAGCCTGTACAAAATGACCTATTTAAATTATAGGGAATATGGTAGATGATGAAAAGTGCATTACACAGAGTTTTTCACATGACTATACCTGTTATTTTAAAATCGTTCACATAGATAATTTATTTTATCAGTATAATCGGCATTCTCTAAATACTCATACACAAGTATCCCCGTTTTAAGCACAATGACATAAGTGGGTTTTTTTTGTATTTTTAGACATTATAATTGTAAGTATGACAATTATTAAATGTCCAATAATAAGAATATTTGTACTTTATTGGTTCTTACCTTTTAAAAAAAGAAAATATACGACTACTCTTTTTTATTTCTAACAAATATAATATGAAGAAACATTAAACTTTGAAACAGTTGGTTCATTGAAATTCGAAATCGATATTTCGCAATTTCGAATTAGAAGAATAAAACGAACCTTTCTTCATTAATATTTTTAGTGAAAGTAAAACAGGTAGGTTTATATAAATTATAATATAATTAACATAATATCATTAAGAGTGTATGTAATGTGTATTAGTTACATTGATTAAGATATTTTATTGTTATAGAAACTGATTTTAACGAATTCTTATGATATTTTAAACAACATATTCATCATTTAAAAACTGATAATAACGTAATATTCCGTTTGACTCAGTTTTGAAGTGATCTACTTAGTTAGATTCATTATGTGTTGGCATAGGTAACTCGATTATTTTAATAAACTATTCATTGCACCTTGGAATAAACTTGGTGGTTCATATTGAAACCGTCTTTATTATGGTTATTTTATTATTTCTAATTATTTAATTAATGATAAGTCACACAGTGAAATGTTCAGTTTATTATTGCTAGTAATTGAGTAGTGATTATCATATCGTTGATTCAATGCTACAAAGACATTTCTACTTCATCCAGGTTGATAAAAACTTGTCCAATGGAAAATCATGAAATTTAATCTTATGAGCTAATGTAGGAAATCAATTCATTACTAAAAAAACATTATAGTTTAAAGCCATTAGATAAATAAATGAAAGCATATAGCTGAATTTATTTTACTGTAGCCTCATTGTTAGCTGACTTTGGTGAAAAGAATATACATTTATGCATTATTGATAGAGTGACTTGACTTTGATAACGTATTTAGAAGAAACTAGTCTTCCAGAATTTCACCAGCAATGAACCTAATTAATTTACTGTGCTTCGTTTGTCTAATGCTTCGTAGCTGAAAGAGACCGTGCTCATAACTTGTGTAATAAATTAAGAACTCCCTTTGATTTACTTGATTTTAAGTTATTGACTCGTTTTGTTAATAATTTTCGGCTCTATGGTTCCATCGTAATTTTACATCAACTACAAGTTAATTCTGACTCCAAAAGTTATCTGATTTACGAAAAAGAAAAATTACAACTAGTGGTGTATTTGAGAATAAAACTTAATAGGTAACTTGTTCTGTTGTCGAGGCAAAAAAATTTGGAGTAATCTGTGTCACGTATAACATTTCTAGGTATTAGAAAATATGTTTAAATTACTTGTAATTGATTTACCTACATCACATGTGATCATATACTTTGATAATAAAATCTTGACATTGTTCACAATAATAAAGTGAAAACAATGCATATACTGATAGCTTATTGCAATGCGATTGTACAACCGATATTGTCAGCATTTTTTTCATTTGACTGTTCACAAATGTGTGACAGCATTTTGTATCTTCTGTGTACACTAACTTATTAACCTTGGTCAACGAGATACAAACGTGTTAACGGTGGTGTAATGTTGACTGTATCACACTGTAGGTGCTAGCGAATTTTACGTGTACATGTGTTGGATTGTACTATCGACCTGCAAAATGCAAATGCTTAACCTTCAGTCATTCATTTGCATCTTGCAGTGTATTCTGCCGTCCGGCTAATTCTAAACTGGCTTCTCCTCTGGTATTGATGTACTGAAACTTCTCTCTGCGTATGTCGACTGCTACAACTTCTACGATGCTTCTCAACATATTTTACTCAATAGTAATTTTGTGAGTAGTACACATCACATGAAGACAGTAGATGCATAGAAGTAATCCAGTTAATAATTTGTTCCACTTAACGAATTTTATGGATCAGACAACGCATTTTTAGTAAGAAATAATATTAAATATGATCTTAGATAAACCGTAACTGTTTAAACGCACTAACAATAATATTATATTTCTGTTTATTGTAGTCAAATTTTGAGTCTCTTGTAATTGAGTTCACTAGTGTGTGCTTTAAGTGTTATACAACCTGACAACAGTGCTATTTATAGACTAAAGGGTAGATAGAGAAATACCTATATGTTATGTATACTTTTATTTATAGATGGCCATTCTATTATTGCATTTAATAAATTCAGCTGTCAATATTGTTTTCATCTCTCATAAGCCAATGATGTCTATTTATGTGCCCTCGATACAATCACTGTTTTGATATGACATGCTAAGCTAGTTTTTTGTTCAGCAGTAGATATTATAGGTAATTTTATTCAATATTACCGTTTAAAAAACTTATTTGCTTCTGTTGTCGGGCAAATAATTATAGTCCATTCAACGTGCTTATGATATTATTTGAAGTAAACTATTAATCGTAACGGATTAGTTTCATAACTTATTTGTGGTAAGTATTTCGTTTCTTAGAATACTTATTGACGAAGGCAACAAAATATTGATATGGTTTTGATATTACACTGAATAAAGATTAGAATTTTTGAAGTTTCCTGGCATAGTGTAGCCTATTTCCCCGAAGTACATGTACAGTTCACTTTAAATAAAAAAGTATTAAAAGAGATAATCAATTATTTAAACTACTGAAATTACTATAATTACTAAATTACTATAAAACCCCTTCTGATAATTATTTGTATGTTGATACACAATTAAATAAATTATAAAAAATCATTCTTATTCTGCCAACGTTTTATAAAAAGACGTGCTAATCAACAATTTTGACCGACTGTAAAATTCAATATTTTGTTTTTAAGATTATAAAACTGAGCATCAAAATATCATTGGTTTAGTTTGCTAGTCATTTATTATTCATTTTTTCCAAGGCATAGGTTTTATTTGATTACTTATAATGAAGTCACCATGCCCTAATTCTAAGCTGAAATAAATTATCAAGATACCGTAGAAACATTATCTTTACAGCGAATTTTGTTGTTTAGTTTCTTTCTTTTTTGCCATGAATACACCCAACTGGAAAAATAATGAATAATTTATTTTCTGAAAACCATAGAATTTCATGAAAGTGTATTGTTTCCAACGAACAATCACCTTTGAATTGTTAAATTTAATATTCCCTCTATTTCAAGTAGATATTCTCTACTTTGTATACAAGTAATTATATAACCATTCTAAGTATCCCTTGTTTTTAGCGAAAACTTTAATAATCACAGTTTTGCTCATTTGAAGGCACCTGATTCCTGTTTTACTCGTTAACTGTTAACGTAAAACTGATTTTGTGTAAATTACTTCAGTTATGTTGCATTTATCAAATAATCATTATTAAATCCATGTTAGTAATTTGGATATCTATTATACTTATGGAATTATGCTTAGTTCAACCGTGGTGTAAATATGCTATGTATATGGTTTGTTATGTGGTAGTCTCATAGGAATTTTTTACATCTAATTTGTAATATTGACTTTCAAATATCTACTTGAACATAATACACATCATAGCGCTTACTGTATATTTCTGTAATGACGAAACCCAAAATAGTCTTTATCATTAAGCCATAACATAAACGTATGCTAAAGTAACATATTACAGTGGAGAAAACTTAACCGATAACATAATTTAAATACATTACCAAAGCAACTATAAAGTAATAAGCCTGATTGTAAACCTCCTAAAATGATATTACTGTTTTAGAAAAATGTATTTATCGTTTCTCTTTTAAATTTAGACAACAAACAAGTGAAAAAGTAATCAGCTTTCAAAATCGTTACGGAAATGAATAGTAACAAGAATTCACCATCAAAATTACTTCCTTTAACTCAACATCTGAATCTATATAATGGTAACTATGACAGTGAAATCGAAGATGTACTCAAAATATGGGTAAATTAAAACTAAAATGAATTTCCTTTTATTTTCTGTTCTTTAAATTTCTATAAAATATGTTTGTTGGAAAATCGTTGGAGATTAAGTACCAGTAGGTAGTTTTCATTTTAAGGCTGAATTACTTCATAAAGTGGAAACTTTTATACAGATACAAGTGTGATTGGTAGTCTGTAGTATTCTGATGGATCTAGAATGTTGATCGAATATTACAGTTATATTTTTCATCTCCAACGTTAAACTACTGATTTGTCTCATTGAGTTTATTGATCTCACATAAGAGATTTGAACCTGAAATTCTTTAGAGGGCATTTGTTTTGATTATCCTAGTAAATAAGCCACCAAATCAGACAAATATCACCGAACAGTTATTTACTACGTGAACCAAACTCCTTAAGTGGAACTTCCTCAATTTTGACCATTTTGTCTAAAATCACATTCTTCTTGGTTTTAGAACAAACAATTAGAGCAACAAATTTTTTCTTCCCAATTAACTTTTCATCGTGACCCTACACTAGTATTTATCTAACTATAACTGTATAACAAGTAAGTATATGTTGACTACACAACAAAATGTCTCGATTTATTTATGAATCAATATAATTAAACAGTAGAACTGCCTATCCACTTACCGTTTTAAATTACTTCGTTGATCGTTAACTATTATTTTGCCTAACACTCGGAATTTGCAACACTGTCACCTAACTAATCACCAGTTGGTTGGTGGTGATTATGTAATAATTGTAAAAAATATTTATATTAATGCAGATCCATAATGGGGAATTAATTAAAAAGAAATAAATGTTGCGTTTGGTGGGAGAGCTATCGAGTATTTTTGCTGAAAAATCTCGAGCAAAGTTCTTTCCGAACCATATGTGTGCATTACAAAAATATCATTTAAACAAATAATCCTAGAGATTAGACGTATTTGTAGTAACTAACCTTCCAGTACGGAAAAAGGTTCATTCGGAATTTCTATTCCATTTTGAGCACCATATTTCTCTAAATCAATTGTTGTGGTTAGAGGTAGGATTTTTATCTACCAGATATGTAAAAGCGTTATCACATTTTTTCATCAACTTCTGATCCAATTCATAGAAAACATCTGCTAAATAATTAATTCTGCACTTAGTGTTTAAACAGAACAGAATCAACTGCACTGAGACCCTTTTATTCATCAAGAAGAAATAAGTCATCATTACCTAGTCGGAACTAACGCAATGAAGCATACTAGTAGCGATTATAGTTAAATTTTAAATCAGGTTTTAGCTATCAGCAATCAAATCAAGTATTTGTCCAAATGAAATATGATTTTCTTTGGTAGATTATGAGTACTTTAACTTCTACAAGAGCTCAGTGAATTCAAATATTTCTCTTTGCTCAGATTCTATTGAGTATAAAAGTTGATCATTAAAAACTATTCATTCAAGTTCGTTATGAAGTATCTATTAGATCGCACACTTTATCATTCTTATAAAGTTATAATATCTTTTTATACAATGAATATAGGTTATTATTTAGAAACAGATGGTTTAACAATAATATATTCTACCAACCTATTCTAAGATAGATTCAATTAATAATAAGGGATTTTTAAAAAAAAATAAAGGTCGCCAGCTCGTAGTTGTTATCTACAATCTCAGGTTTGTATACATTAAACCAGATCACAAAATTTCATTGTTTGTATCTTTATGATGATATGGTAATTAACGTTAATTATTTTAATTGAGGTAAAAGTAATCTCGAAATTTGAAACAGTAATCTTTTAAATTTATTGGTCTAATCGATGCGGACATATTATATCTTAAAAGTGGTCCTCATGACAACAAATTTGTAGTATTGAAAAATGTGAAGACCTAAATATTAGCTGGAGTTCATTTGAAATAGTATCAGCATAAAAGTACATTTGTTTGGTGGTGATTAATTAGAAGTTTCATTATTGTTTAAGATTAAACTTGACAAATTAGGATAGCAAAAAGTGTGAAGTATGTGAAACTAAAACTAATATGTTGAGTATGTTTAATCTCACCACTTTAGAATGAGGAAAAAAATATGTAGCTTAGTTAAACTCTCTTTATAGTGTTGACTTCTTTAAACTGAACGGTTTAATGGCAAAGCTAAACTTTCTTGTCTCGTTATCTTTGTTTTATTTGTGCGCCTTTTTTATTCCCATTGACTATTGTTTTCGACTAACCACTAATCATGAGCCTGATAAACCTTGTTCTAAACCGTTGTTTGACTTTATTTTATCATGCATTTAACAGACTAAATTTCTAAATACACTTCTAGAACGTTTTCAGCATTCATAAATTTCCTTCGTTTCTTGGTCTTAACACTTTTCGGGTTGAATATTTGTCCTTAGCGATCTCCGTACATTGTCATGCTGTCATTCATCTGCAAAATCTGAGCTGCTGTTTTCATAAACCACGTGGAGGTCCGTTATCTCGATGTATTGTTTCTTGCAATTAGTTCAATTCATTGTCTTAAAATGGTTCCTAATAGTTATTTATGACTAAATAGCTTGCAAAATTAATCGCCACTAATAGAATTAACCTTGTTTTTAGAAATGGAATGAACTTTTCTATCTGAATACCAGGATTCCAACTAGTAAACATTTTGACTAGGATGGGTGATTTGTATAAATTATAAACTTTGTTTTTTTGTACTTCCTATTAATCAGATTATCAGAGACAAGAATAATCTTTGATTCCATTGGATTATTATATACGAAGGGAATTTCAATCAATATCAATGATTGAGTTTATTATAGTAATGAAAAATGAGTGATATTTAATCTCAAGATGCGATTCATTAGTAAAAGTAAATGAGTAATGTTTCATAATCTCATCATGATAATTAGAACAAAGCAGGTTTATATGTGTACTAAAAAAGACTATACTTAGTACTGACAGTGAGTATGTACCTGAAAACCTAGGTTTAATCTCTCCCTTCACACTTTTCCGCTATACGTTTCTACTGTATTGAATTTCTACACGGCCTGCATATTTAAATTAATAATGCTAGCTAGATATTGATTGTAAATTCTTTTTTCTTTGATGTTGTCACTTATATACAATGTTAGATGTAAATTAGAGTACATATGATTCCTTCACCTAAGACTCAGTTATTCAATCCCATAATGTACGCAAAAATCTGATGTGGTGCATTACTACAGCATCGACTATATAAAGGCATTTTTTGAGGAGCAAAATAAAATACTCTATCTATTAATATGTTATGAGCATAGTTAGTATCCAAAATATTCATCTGAATTAGTAAGCAGAAGTCACCTGAAATCTCACAAAACAGAATAATGAAGTAGGAAATTAGTAAATATCTCTATCATTTGAAATTTGAAACAAAAAGGTTAAACACTTTTCTCGTAGGTTAAACTTATACAAAGTTTATATTCCTATCACTTGGGTAAGTTTTATTTGAACTGAAGTCTACGATGGATTGCAATTAGGTTTCAACACATAAATCTAACCTAGTTATTGTGTGGTGTGAGCTACTTATGCGGGTAGACATAAGAAGTATGCAGCAGAAATTGAAAGTGGAATGTTTACCAGCAGAAGATTGAAACAAATAAAAGAGAAAGGCAATCAGAACTACGACGGGATTGGTAAAATTATAGAGTGTGTAAAGGACAATTCAAGGTAGATATGCAAGTGAAGTATTTAATGTATGATTTCCACATTTTATAAAGGCACTGTTTGATTTTGCATGAAATAATAAATTGGTTTACCATACTTGAGTTTTTGTATGTTTCTAACATTTTTAAATTGGCAGCATGATGTAGAAAAACCTTATTCTTTTAAATAACCAACAAAACCCTACAATGTGCACTTAAATGGTTCTCTCAGATGACCTGAGCGTTCACTATGGGTTCATGACAAAAGTTAATCTCGTTAAACCAATTTGGAATATCTTTTCACTTTTTATGTGATAAACACTGTGCTTCGATGCAATTTTTAGATTTTTTTATTTCACAGAATAAAACAGAGATTCATGTGAGATGTAATCACCAAATTCACTTCTTTTCAGATATTGCCTACTACTAACCAAAATATTCATGATGATTTATTAAGAAATAAGTCCATAGAAGAAAGGCAATACTGTGACACTAATAATTACTCTATGTCTACAAATGTGAATTCAGCTGAAGAATTGACGCTTTCCGAGTCAAACCATACACAAATTAATGATAACAGTAAATTGGCTTCAAATTTAAATCACATCATGAAACAATTGTCACGGAAAATGTGCAAACAATACCTCCTTCCAGATGAATATACTGAACTGGAATCTGAACTTGAAAAATCACTGAACATTGCTGAATCGAGTTCAAATACAGTTTTGTATGCAAAATTCAAAAGTGACAGCCAATCATTAAATCATAAAAAAGTGAAGCATTTTCACACAAAGAATAATTATGAAGACCTTAACGTGAGTCGTACTACAGTTGGCTTTAATATGACGATTCTTAACTCATTTAATTTAACCTATGTTTGATTCATTCTGAAAATAAAATTTAAAATCACAACATAGTTTGAATTTAATAAGCTGGTGACTCTATACTTGCCTAACACCATGTAAAGATGCTAACTGGCCATAGGTTTACAAATGTTTTGACCAATTAAGAAATGTAATTATGGAATCCAGTCAACACTAAGTGTACAAAGTAACCTACCATTCAGATTTCATGAAGAATGAATTTTCACATTCTCTTCTACATATCAGCATCAATGAATCATAGTCACTTTAAAATACACGATTTATTCACATATCTTTACAGATTTTTGAATGGTGATGGGCATAAAATGCTTGTTGGATGAATGTGAACTGTAGAATACACCGCATCACTACAAACGTCATTTCCAGTTCGCACAATTTATTGGCTCATAAACGACTTTAGATAACCGAGTCCTTACAAAACTACTATCAGTTTAACAATTTAAGTGTATTGATAGTTATCATGATTACATTGTTCTCTAGTTGTATAAGTTGATTCCCTGAAAGCACAGATGTATATGAGAGAAACATTTATTTGCTGTCTACTGAGTTGTTTGTCTGACTGCACTAACGAAGTGTTTTTGTTATCTTTATAAAATATCTCATAGAAATACTAAACACGACTAAATCTAACGGGTGGAACTAACATCATTTGCCAGCTCGTAAATTTATCTCATCGATGATCCACAATTTAAAATACATTGCAGTTTCTATGTTATTGTTGAATAGCAACTAATAATTAGAATAATCAGATTACTCAGCAGATCATAGAATTTTCCTAGTTTACCATATGTTTTACACCATAAACTTGTGTATAATTTACAAGATTTAAGAGAGGATTTAAATTTCTCGATCCTTTCCGATTAACCAGTGACAATGTTTGAAAGCCTTGAGTGTTTGTGAGTTGTGTTTGAGTGGCAGATGCAACCAATTTTCGTGAGATGAGAATTGTTAGAGTTTGAGAACATAGTTGACGTAATGAGTTCTTGATATCGTGTTGTTATATGAAGACCAGTTTTGTTGACCAAGCGTTTTGTTAGAGGACTGATATTCAGTAAGTGGGGTCCAGGAAAGTCAGGACTTGTATATAAAATGTAAGCTAAATGTACCTTGAAAATTAGTTTTCACTTATTTGGTAGCTGACCTTACGGCTTCCAAACATTTCACAGTGTCATTTGACATTCGACAAAGAAGACTGGCTGTGAATGATTAAAAACAAACCAAAATAATAAGAATGTTAACCTGGAAATGTAATGGCAGGTATAATAAAAATGAGTATAGCCAGTCATTCATTTCTTTACGTATATTTTAGAATTGATGACATCACTTCGGTGATAGGTAAAATGTTAAACATTGGACTACCTAAAAGATATTCTTCAAAACCAAACATCCCGTTTTGAAAGACATGTATATTTTTACAAAGCAGTCATTGTACGCCAAGTCAAACTGTTTTCTCGTGCTAAAGCACTCAAATTAAATGAACAGAAAAAAGCCGTTGATTCTATAAGTTGCGAAAAGTGTCTGGTTCAAGTTTGATTTTCATCTGAATTAAAACTGAGGAATAAAAATCATAATTTGGAAGACTTAAAACTTGTGAAATTGAGTGGCAAACAAACTAATTCAAGTATTTAGGCTGTAGAAGCCAGTGATTTCAATGAGATGGAAATAAACGTACAAGTTGAAAAGAAGACAATTTTAACTAAATTCATTATGTTTTTGATTGAGATCATGAACCGATTGATGTTAGACCACCACCTTTGCAAACCTGGAAGCACTGGACGGCAATTTCGTCCTATTGTGGGACTCCTCAGAGGTGCTCACCCACGATCCCACTCGCGGGATTCGAACCCAGGGCCTTCGGTCTCGCGCGCGAACGCTTAACCTTCTGGACCACTGAGCTGGCATACCATATACTAGTAATCAGCATGTGCTCACTAGTGACTAGCTTCGTGAGGGAATTCTCGGAGTTCTAGTGAGAAGCCGTGATCAGTGGAGCTAATCCATGTCGGGTAGAGACAGGTATCTACCTCAGTACAATGGAAGTTGGTCGCGCAATTTCGTGGATTGGTTGATGTTAGAGACTATCACCATTAGATGCCGGCTCAGTGGTCCAGTTGGTTAAGCATTCGGGCGCGAGACCGAAGGCCCTGGGTTCGAATCCCGCGAGTGGGATCGTGGGTGAGCACCTCTGAGGAGTCCCACAATAGGACGAAATGGCCGTCCAGTGCTTCCAGGTTTGCAAAGGTGGTGGTCTAACATCAATCGGTTCATGATCTCAATCAAAAACTTAATAATCTCCACAACCCCTATACTAGTAAATTCATTATCTCTGAAAGATATGCCGAATTTATTTGCGAATCTGATAACATCATTTATTATTTTAGGATTTCATGGCTCTGAATTAAACTTAACTTTCAATTCACCAAGGTCATCCCAACCTTTTATTTGTATTTCACCATCCACTTACTGGTTTACATACCTACATCTCCTCCTATTTGAAACTTTACCATAGTATCCGTGTTATTTTTGTCATTCTCCATTATAGGATAATTTTTGTTGAATAACTTGAAGGGCTTTATCTTCTGTTCTACTTCTTAGTCTTCTTGCATACTTTCTAACCTAGTTATAAATATAACTTACCTACCTACTTCTCAATAAAATACAATAATTTAGATTCATTTGTATAAGCTGGTACTTAATCAATAAAAGTTTGAAACAACTGATGTAAACAGGATCAAATGAATTTAATTTATGCGTTTATTGTTTTGTTCATTTAGGATAAATGATCTTTTAAAGAAAAAATACTGAACAGAAACTGTTCTTTTTTATGTATAGTTCTTAGTAATTCGGATGTCATCAATACTTAAAATGATCAATTTTACAAATGAAGAAACAGTTTCATATAAGGATATTTACGTTTATTTTTACAGCTGACTAAATGCATTTAAAAAGTCATAAACGTGAAATTAGTGTGTTGGTTTTACAAATGTTATTATACAATTATATGAGTTTATATTAGTTGTACATTTGTCAGATGCTTATTTCAAATTGAATTCTTATACCGAATAGAATAGGCAACTTTTTAAACATGAGTATATAAACGAAAGAGAGAGAGAGAGGGGGGGAATAAATAATTTATACTGAGAAATAAGGTAATATACCGGATACAGCATGCTTTCATTCAATTATTTTATAGAAACACTACAGAAAAAGGTACTGATAATATCATTATAAGTATCTCATAGTTCTGCTTAATATGGGATTAAATATTTTAGAGGATATTCTAGGTAATGAACGGCAAATGAATCTAGGCTAGGGACTTGTACCTGAGCAAACATCTCACAGAAAAATAATTCTATGCTGTTTATTCTAATAAATTTGCTCGAATTACTATCGTCATAATTTGAGTTTTCATATGAAATTAATGAATACTCAGAAATCTTTCGTATTTAATAACAGGATTTTGAGAAATACCAATATAAGGATTTCGGATATGGTGTAAGCCAGATAAATGGTGAAAATTTGGAATACATTCTGAATGGTAAACATACAAAATCACCGGGAAAACAAATTTATGGTATGTTTTATTTATTCATTTTTACTGCCTTTTGTTGAAAATATTGAGACATATTTTCTCTGTCGATGTTAAATGAAAAATTAAACAGAAAAAAATTTAATAGTTGAGGTCATGAGTTAATTGAATCTAGACCACCATGGAAAACCTGGAAGCACTGGACGGCCTTTTTTCTATTGTACGACTCCTCAGAAGTGCGCATCCACGATCCCGTCTCGCGAGATTCGAACCCAGGACCTATCAGTTTCGTGCGCGAAAACTTAACCTCTAGACCACTAACCGGTATCCAACGGTGTTAATGTCTAACTTCAACTAATCCACGAAATTGAGCGACACATTCACCACTGTCTCTAGTGAGTTACTACCTCACAACAGACCCGGTTGAAAACATTTTGTCAAAAAACTAGAAAAATACTTTAACAAATAAGAACACTGATTTTTGAAAAGTTAATCAAATTGGAAACAATTCGATCACGAATTAATCTCTTCAAATAATAGATCAAACTAGACTAATGAAGATATGGGTAAAATATGAATATTAGGTGCAAGTATTATAACTAACTGAGCTATGGGTATTAAATAAAAACAAGTACGATTTGATAGGGGCTAATGTAAATTTAGCCTCTTTTTTAAGCAGAAAAAAGAGACGTTTAAATGTTAGCCTGGATGTATCTCAGCAAACCAATTTTAAAATATAATACACCAATCGTTTTTTAAGGGTTCAATATTCCAGGAAGCTTAAGTTATAAAAAAGTTCAAATCAGCACCTTAATATTTAAATTTTCTTTAAAGACAAAAAGTAAACAACTTTGTATTGTAAATAGGTAGGTGAAAAAGTTAAACTTCAAACAATTTATCAAAGACACTTTGGTTTTGTTTGTTAGGATCTATAAAAGAATTATTCAGAACTAGACTATTATCATGAAATGAACGTAAATTTCTGAATATATGCAGGAAATACCTTGATAATGAGTGATTGAACCGGTTTTAATTTTATGCAAAAGCTAACGAAATGAGAAAGCTATGATATATCAGAGATTGTAACATAAATACAGCCGTTTTTGTGATTACGTAGAAGTCCACAGTTCAAAGCTAAGTTTACCATATCCAGTGAAAAATCAGGTACCAAATATAAAAATTCAGTTAAAATCTAAGTAAAGGAAACTGAATTGCAGCTGCGCAAGAGCAGATCAACAAATCAATAGAATGATACATTTTGGTGAAGTTGATTTCATACAACCTCATTGTTCTTATGAAAAAGTAGATTATTGATATATGAAATAGCTAATGATAAACCATGTTTCTTAGTTTTGAGAATGTCTGAATCGAATTTGAAAGACTGTTTGATAGAATTTCATTCAAACGAGTTCCTTAGATTTGAGTAGTTTTCTTAATTAAGGAATTAATAAGTTTACACTTAATTTCTTCGTGCTTGACTGATTCATTTCCATTGCAACATTAAATAAATCTGTAATAATTTTTAAAAGCATTAAAACCTTAATAAACACTTAAATTGTACGCACATAATTTTAAGTTAACTTTCAAACATCTTTAAAATGCACCAATAATGTTGGATTAGAAATTTCATACTACACTTAAGAATGTCGCTAAACCATATACATATGTGTTCGTTGAGATGAAAAATATTTCCTTCTAGTGAGGCACATTTGTGCTCACCAAAGATTAATCTAGTTTTATAGTATTATATATCTATTAAATATACATTAAATGAAACTGATTTTCTGGTAAAATCCAGGCTGACATAAGGCCTCCAAGCTAATAATTCGATGTTGTATATAGAAGTCATAGTTCCAGTATGCATAAGTGAGATCTTTGGAGTAAACTGGATTATATTATCACAAAAAATAATCTAACTCAGTATATTGTTCCTAAGCTCACCACTGAATCTATTATTTGTTACATATCTGAAAGCGAAATTTGTTCAAGATTTATGAACAGTCTTAAAATACTCATGAGGACAGAAATGAAAAATGTTCAGTGACTTGGAAAGTCTCGAATCATAATAAACTGTTGTGATTTAGTGATAAAAAGCACTAAGTTAGTGACGAGGTATCTCATGTATGGAATCTTGGCTTTCATAACTCTACTTCATAACCTAACAAATGAGATGATATGCAGTTTGTGTTTTCATATCTCTTATTTAAGATTAATAGAATTTCATCTACAATATCACGCCAGTTTAGTCGAATAAATTGTAGTATTTTTGAAAAACTCTATTTTTTAACTATGGTGAAATTTTTAAGGAACGATTATTTCATGCCATAATTGAAGTTCTACTATCGTTTTAATTATCTTACTTAGGGCTTGACAGTTTTGTAGATTGTGAATGTAGAGAAAAGATGCAATGGAGTATTGAAGGGAAGCAATAACAGTAACAAAGAAATGATGCAAGTCCAGCGATCTTATTTTGTCAACATATTACTATTTTCTTACCAATTAATTAAAATACTTCTTGGGTACTTTATAAAACGGTGATTATATTTCTTCATTTATATGTTCACTAATACAATTGTTGGAGAGAATAAAATTTATGGACGAACCAATCACGTATAACATAATAGGTCTCGGGTTTTGGCGCAAAATTCACTCATTCATCCGGATAAATAGAGTTTTGTCATTATAGCTGATGTCAGTTCACGACGAAAACCTTAAATTCAATTCCTAATCCTAACAATCAACTGTAAATCATAATTATAATTCCGCACACTACTTTAGAACGTTCATTTAATCCTAGTTATTAGGTGGACATTCTCATGCTCACTTTAGCGTCGCTCAAAGGTTGTCCATAAATTATAGTCTCACCCAATTGATTTTTTCATTAATTTATTATTCTGAATAACGATTAGGCGTTTGTAACTGAATAAATAATGTCTTGTTTCCATAATGTGTCAAATGAATTTTTAGTATCATCACTGTGTAACTTTTCTATGAAATTACCAATAATTGAAGATCAGTTTTGTTGCTGGATGTATGCATTGTATACCTGGTAATTTAGCTGAGGGAAGCTTTGATATCAGTTGTTTAGGACTATAATTTGTTTTAGCAAGCTTTAAAACTTGACTATTTGATGCATTTAGTTTTTTTATGTTGTAAATGATTAAACTTTAATAGTGAAAAGGTAATCAAGATTAATCTAGTCATTTTTTTAAGTGTCCATAGGTACTTATTAAGAAAATATTTCTTGTAAATGAGGCACAAAACTCGAAATGCCTATATATATATAACATATTGCTTCGTGGCATTTTTTATTGAAACAAATAAATTGCTTAAGTTTCATTTGCCATTAAATAACTTCCATCGAACTATGAAAATCAAATGTCATCTGTTAGTAGATGACAGTGCTGGAATAATGGGATTTTGTATAAGATTTTGGGTTAACTTCAATTGCTTGCATTAAAATAATCACACCTAAACGTTCGTTTTGGATGATTTTATTATAGTTTAGCCTCTGTGAATGTATTGAGTGTACTGAATAATATATCGTCTGCATTCCTATTATACACTATTGAAATAATACACCTGAAAAGTTTCAACATAAGTGTCTTCATATTTTTTAGTTATAAACAAAACGAAATTACTAGCGGGAATTTACCATTAACTTATATTTTAACTTATTTACAACAATTGACCGGTAACTCATCGTTCAAAAAGTTTATTGTTCCTAAATTCTATACTTTAATGGGGTTTGTGAAGAATCTTGAATATAGTTTCCATCCTAAAGCATTAGAAAAATCATAGAACAACGGTTTCTTCTTGATTTAAGAGACCACTAAATTATTCATCCATAAGACACAAACATAGAACCAAATGCTGCACCTTAAAGCTTTGTATCTAGTACTGAGTATTTCAGTCAATGAACCATTTTCCGCATTTTTAAAAAAGTTATCTACTTTTCATAATTTGCATAACAGTCGTCCAGTGTCATTGGCACGTAACTTCTGAGTTTCTGGTGTGACTGGACTGTGGTGAATCCATCTAAAATATTCATGGTTTGAAAAAATAAAAAGATCACACATGCATCTCAAAAATGCTTGATGTATAAAGGAAAATCCTATGATAAGATGCAAATTTTTCTTGCATGAACTACTGAACTGTTGATGGATACCATACCTAATGTTTAAAAAGAATTAACAGTTAATACAAAAATGTGATTTAGTTCTGAATGTTCTAAGAATTACTTCATACCTAACCTGATATGGTCTATTGAAACTAATTTTAGTACTAGAAATGTAGCTGATAAAACAAGCCATCTTCTTATATCTAATTACAAAAATATTATTAAACAGTTTAAAGGTGAATTTAAGAAGGAAGTTTTTTAAACTTGAATTGTGTATTTTAGAAATTTTGTCCAATTCCTTTTGTTTTTATCTCATTTTTATATTCTTTTCGTTCATCTGCTGTATGTCACTCAAATTAGCAAGCTAATTTTGTATGTTACTGATTACTTATTAAAGCCGCGTCTAGAGTTACGTTAACATCGGCAATAATTAATATTTATCCTACGTTATCGCTCCAATAACATAACCCACTAATTAAGATTCTTGATTCTTGATGAATTAATATGTTTTATTTTTGTCGCAACATAATGTGTAACTAACAAGTGAGGATAACACTAGTGAAAAGTTGAGAACTGTTAGCGTTACCCTCTACTGAAGGAAGTATTATAAATATAGAAAGTAATTGAAGTGCTGCCACTGGATACATGTTAACCTGAAATTCATAGGTTTATACTGTAATTGATAAACGTATATTCAAAACCAACTTTTTATATAAAATATCTGTCCTGATAAAGTGAATTACAAGACAATAAGAAAAATTAAAGACGATTATATAAAGTTTTTAAAGCCGTTAATTTATAAACTAATCAGACGTATCGCTATACTGTCACTAAGATTTATTACTCGAGTTGATTGTTATACAAAGGATTATCCTTATCTTAAGTATCATCTGATGGAGAATTTAGTTTTTATTGAAGGTTAAACTTATTAAAATTTAGCGTGTTTTACAATAGACCACAAATTTTGTCTTGTGAATCTTTGTTGCAAGGCAGCAAGATTAAGATTTAACTGATGAATACAGAAAACTAGCAAATGCGTTATAAATTTTGAAATGACCTGATGAATTCCTTGTTTTAATACTTTATAGTTAGCGACAAGTTTATGTAGACACCAATTTAAAAAACTATTTACTTATGTAATAAAAATTATCCAGTTGCCAGACGAAATAATTATTGATTGTCGCAAATGTCTTATGATCCAGTAGATCTGGAAAATTCAGTAAATCTTTCAATAACATTTTACAAGTATTCCCTTTAAAAATGATTTGAAAGTAATTCTATTGGAAATTTTATTCTTGATTAAATATTTTGCGATGAAGGTTGTAATCATACTAACTTATTTCATGAGAATATCACGTCAAGTTCTACTGTATGATTTTGAACTAACAATAGAAAATCCTTTCATTATCGGGGAAGAGTATACAGAGTGAGAATAATTGTCTGCTTACCATTTAACTGATATATTCAAGAAAAACATGATGATTTTAATATGAATTTAATCAGTTTGAATTTACCATCATGGTATGGTTTATAATTCGTCAACTAATTATTTCCTCGGTAGACAGAATGGCATACAGTCACCATTTTTTATACACATACCTCTATATTTGAGTTAGTATAAAAGCAATAAATGTGAAGTAAAAAAAGATTATTTTCACTCGAGAGATGCAATTTTTAAACACTTCCTTCACATCTACGGCTATGAATCGACCTACTAAGTCTATAAGTACCTATTCCAATGCATTCATTTATCTTTGAATACTAGTCATCTTATCCACCTCGTCTTTTAACTGTTCTGTTATTCTTTGCAGTTAACTGATTCATCATCACTTGACTCGTACCGGCTTTGTTTTCACTCTCGAATATATACTGCTGTAGAACCTTCATGAAAACGTAATTGCATTGAAATACTTCTCTCTTCTCGTCTTTTTTTCTGAATAAGAAATGTGTTACTTTACTTCCACTTCCATATTTTTCTATTTCAACATTGTATTTCAACTTTAGACAATATTGTTCGTAAAGAGAAATTGACTCATGTGCGTAATGGGAAGAAGATTGCGAGTACTCAAGTTGTATGCAAACATAAATACTGTGAAGATGCAAAATTATTTCCGTCAAATACATGCACATGTTCATCCATCTGTGCACCAGAATGTAGCAGGTAACAATTACATGTAATAACAGTTGTTTTAGTAGATATTCACTTTAATTCATGATCAATGTAATAGAGTATGAGACTCGTAGAAAATAAATTATCTATGGTATTCAATAAAAATTATGGCATAACTTAGGGCATAATGATTTATTTCAACTTCAATATACAGAAAAACGAACAGAAAGATAAATGATGAGGTTCAAGGATGCTTACGAATATTTTCATTGGAATTTAACATTAATCGACAGAAAAAAATAAATACGATAATACCAATAAGATTAAAACATTTGGAGATTCTTAGAATATTCAGTACAATAAGATCTCGATTCACAAAACATCATAAATTATTTTTGTTAGATAGAGAACAAACTTTTTTTGTAACGGTATTTTATATAGGCCATAAACTGAAATATGATCAATGAAAGAATCTATAACGAGAACTACATGATTAACATAATGGGGTGTTGAGAAGACACATTTTAAAGCAGTTGTATTATAGTAAAATAAAAGTAGCTTACAAAAGTACAAATATCAAAGAAGTCAGCCTTCCATCACAACTTGCATTAAAAGTTAAGGTGAATACACTACCATTTACTAGACGAGCCAAGAGTACTTCCAAGATTATCCCAGCTTAGGTTTCCTTTTTTGAACTCGAAAATGATTTTCCACATTAAATATTTCTTTTCTGCAGCCTTGGAAATAATCTTTTTTTTATTTTTTTTATCAACTTAGCACGTTATCAACACATCGTCTGGAAAATGATTTAAACAAATTGGTAAGATAGTCAATTTAAAATTGAATAAATTCTGAATACAGATCAAACTTATGAGATTTAATTAAATATGTTTGAAAGCATGAAAATGAAGTAATCAAATAAGATATAAGAGCTCATGGATAAAAACAACTCATAATTTAGACCGTAAACTCTGTACATCTTTTCTGTTTTGTTAACCATTAGGGTGTATCAAACCGACTGTAATCAAAACGTTATACAATTTTTTGCACTTAACAACTTTCTGGTTGCATAATTAATTGAACTCAGAAACAATTACATTCACCGCAAGAGTTTACTAATCTTTGTTACCCTTCAGGCAATTTATTAGTATACTCTAATGGCACCAAGATAAACAGCAATATATCACGTTCCTATGACGATACAAAACTGACTTTTCAGGAAATTACTATTGCTGCTACTTATTAATACTGAATAAGTAGCCGTTAAGCGAAAACCAAAAGAATATATTAAGTGAAATATATCAAAGCAAGATTAAATTGGTTATTATTAGATTTGAAGAAAAGTAATACAATTTTAAGAAATCTATTTGGTTAAAAATTGGTTTAAACCAACTCATTCAATGAAAAAGTTCAAAGCTAAAATTAATTTAATCCTTTTTATTATACAATTTAAAATATGATAGCAAATAATGCTTTCGGTAGGAAAACAATTTTACCCAGGATAAAAATAAAATCTATAATTAGAAATGGTGTTTTGAACAATTATTTGTGTTTAATTGGTGACCTGTATCATATTTATCACAGAGACAATTAACTTCTTGTTTAGAAGTAATGATTAAAGCAAACTAGTTAACAGTGGGTATAGAATGAACTGTTTGATCGAAACAAATTTCTGTACAAAATCTTTTATTATTTTTAAAAAAAATATTTTACGGAAGATTAGTGATTCCTGTATACCTAAGATGTTTTGTTATTACTTTGCAATGAAAATCCGAAATAACCGTCTAAATAACACACCAAGCGTAAATGTTAGTGAGAAGAATGGATATAAATTATATCATTAAAGTATATTATGTTAGTTACCGGTTTAATAATTGTATACATCTTGTAGTTTTGCAGCTAACTAATTTTCATTTAGATACATGAAGGACTTAGATGAACCAAATTTGAATGTTCTTTCTGTAAAGAAATTCATGAAGTTTATTTCTCATGTGCTCAATAATTAGTCTAGCATTAGTAAGCTTTGAAAAGATGTAAAAAAATTGGGTTAAATGAATCTTATTGAGCCAGTCCAACAAATAAGAGTTGCAGAATTGCTAAGTCGAAAATCGAAAAACAAAAGTTTTATACTAATAAACTAGTTACTGTTATTGTACCTATTTATTCAAATTTTAGCGCGATATTTTCATACACTGTGATTTACAATTGACGAGCGATTTGCTCAAATACTTTGACTAATTGAGTTCTTTGAGAGAATTATCCAAGCTGAGTAATTTATTTTACTTGATGTTACAAATCGATTCTGGTTGAAGAACCACTGAAAACCAGAAAACACAAAATAGTTCTTTCATTTTAGGATAAGGTTTTTCAGGAGCTTGCATCCACGATTATACTTAGGATATAGTCCAGATCGGTTTAGCCAGCAAACGTCTAACTGTAGATTGATAACTAGGTATATATGTTTATATACGTGTTCTTTAAGCACACAATATATTATGTATTTGCGTTACACTTTATTGAGTGACTTAATTTACAAAACGACTTCTCTGTTTTACAGATCCAACAAACGGGTAACAACCCAAACCACAATACAGGTAACAATGAGCAAACGTCCATTTGTTTAGAAAATATTACACCTTTCAGCTTGACAGAGTGTCCATTATTGATGGACTTTTATGGGATTCATAAAGAAACTACTAACTCCTTATCAAACCAGAAAGACTCTGCATGTGAATCAGATAATCTGTCTTCACTGAACGGTGAATTGTAGTAAGTGATGTTAATATGTTTCACTAGAACGGACAATCTGTAATTAAACACCAATTTTTAGCAATTTCTTAATATCTATATCTTTTAAAACAAACAGAAAAAATTAGTCATCATAACAATCATTTAATACTGTCGTCAAATAAGAATGTCAAGTGGATAAGTAATATGCTCGTAGACTGTCGTTTATTTTTAGGTTTCTACTTTTTGAAGTGTTAAATGATTTATCTTACAAAGTAACTCAACTATGTGCACAGTCCGAGGTTGTTCATTTACTGATCATCCGTTTCTATTGAAACTTGAACACTAGTCTTTTGTCGAAGAAATGAAGCTAAATCATTTCAGCTGAATCGTTCTTCAGTAATTGTTATAACCCAAAAATGTAGATTCATCACAACTTTCAAATCCGAAATTAGGTACTATTTAAAGGATATAAGTTTTATAACCACCACCAAGTTCATTTAACTCACATTTATGTAGTCACAGATATAAATGAATGATAAAATAGACTTAAGCAAACTGGATGCTTTAAGTTATCATTTCTGTCTAAGCAAAGGCGGATAGAGGCTAGCAGTGGAGTCCAGGACGCGCGTTCCGTCCTATTTAGGACTCGTCAGCTGGATGTACCTGCATCATAGAGTTGATGTTCAATCCGGGACTCGAAACCAATACCGTTCGCTCCAAACGCCATCGCGTTATTCAGTTAGCTACTGAGTCCTGATAGCCACTTGCTTGTGCAACGGGAGGAGTTTAAATTCACTTGATGTTATCTTAGTTGTATCTTCCCATTGTTATTTAGGACTGCAATCGATCAGTCTCATGTTGACATATGTGCATCCTGTGCGGATTGCCTCGATATAGCCTTAAGTCACAAGCTTCATAAGCAAAGACTGATCAATTGCATTCCTAAATAACAATGGGAAGATACAAGTAAAACAACATCAAGTGAATCTATATTTCTGTCGTTTAATCAATCAAGTTGATTCTGTCACTTTTATCAAATGGGTAGTAAATCAAAATTAATTCACATTCTTTAATATCAACACGAATTTATGGTTGAACTGACCATGGTCTAGGGAAGCGTGCTTCCAAAGCCTCCAAGAATAATTAATTTCTATTAGATAATGATTAAATTATTTAAACAATCAGTTGTTCATAGAAGATTTCGATGAGTTTAACATGCATTATTCAGGTCCCTAAAGCCATTCTATAACAATTAATAACAAGAAATGTTTATTTAAGTGCCTATAATGAATATTTGGTTAAACATCTATTACGTATCATTAAATTAGATGAATAATATACGTCCTAATCTGTTTTCATGTTCATAATAAATGTTGATACATTGAAAAAAAAGTATTAGTGGTTGTGAAAATATACTTAAATGTTTGGTAATTTTCTTACTGTGATGATAGAATAGATGAAATATACTGAAATACATTTGTATAATAATGTATGTAATATAAAATGGATATTTCACACGAAATGAATTGTCATATGATGTTGTTATAATTATGTCATAAGCATGAATGATTAAGGTACAGTATAAACTACAACTATAAGCATGAATAATTAACAAGATGTTTATGGATAGTAAAACAGTGTTAATATGATTGGAATAGAAGAAAGAAAGGAAAAAAACTGTATGTTTTCAATTGTTTCACATTTAAGACTGAAATAATTTAAGCATGAAATAAATAAGCAAGCGTAAATGTTTAGCAATTGAACTTTTTTTTCTAAGAATCAGTGAATGAAAACATCGTCTATAAATAAATCTGGAACTTAGCATACTAATCAAAACCATTTGACTTTATCAGACAAACTAGAATTCAATTTTTCGAAAACCTAAAAGAAAAATAAAATAATAAAAAGTTGTAAAGTGTCTACAGAAACAAAACGAACTATATTGATTGAATTCTGTTCTGATAACGAATTTCATTGTTTACCAACTTTCTGAATTTTAAAGGAAACCATCCAAAGATCTTTTAACAAGTAATCATAATATTTATATTCATAAAATGATCACAAGATTAACGATATTACCTTCTGTTGGCGAGACTAAAATTTATGGACGAGCCAATCAGAAGCGTTTTAGGGATTTCAAGGTCATAGTGCCAAATTCAGTACTTAATGATAACGTACGATCGGTTCACAGGAGATTTTATACAAAACGTGATAATTAAGCGGTTATAACAAGTAGAAAGGCGAGACTATAACTTGTGAACGAACCAACCAGGCATAAAATAATAGATCTCGGACTTTGATGAGAAAATCTTTCATCCATTTGGCTAAATAGAATTTTGGCATTATAGCTGATGTCAGTTCGTGATGAAAACCCTATATATAATTCCTAAGGCAAATTATGACAATCATTGCAAACTGGATAATAAAAGCATCAGTAACACTGTCTGCAGCCAGGTATATATATATATATATAATATTATATACGGATGATTGGAGAGCGTACAGACTCCTACATAGGCTTGGTTATGTGTATTGTGTCGTTATCCACAAGTGGAATTTTGTGGACCCAACAACCCGAGTGCACACATACAATATTGAAACTATGTTGTCGAGGCTGAAGTATTTTTTGCGACCTTATCATGGCTCCAGAGGCCGACTACTCACTATTAACAAAACTAAAATTACTATTATACATACATCATCATAGTAGCTTTGTGAATACTCAAGGAAGGATCAATAACAAATACACTATTCACAATATGTATCCAGTAAGCTGAAAATATGGGTTAGTAAGGTCGCTATAGCACAAAGCTATAAAGTTATGCACAACATTAAAACCTGAAGAGAAATATTTAAAATATAGATAAGTGTCGGCGGTAACGTAGTTTCTTTCATTTAGTTATAAATAAATATAATAATGAACACTTCATAAGAAAGAAAAACAATAAATCTTATAAAAACACTCCCTCATCGGGAAGGTCTTTAAAGGTGACCAAATAACAAAGGTATTGATCATGGACAAAAAAGAGTCAAATTGAACGATTTCTAGCAAAAACTGGTTTCCTGATAAACTACATGACCTCTAATAACATAAAGAATATAGATAAAAGCAGTCACTTGTCTTGTTCATTAATGTTTATCAATTACACGTGTGTTTAAAAGGCATGGATATCTAAAAGATGTAAAGCTGAGCAAATGCCTATTGGACGACCATTTACGAAGAACCCTTATTTCAAATGAAAACGCAGTCCTCATGGTTCTATTTCATACAACTCCTTGGACACAAGACAAGAGAAAGACACATAGTGCGTTCAAAATAGTCAATAAACACTACGACTAAGTACTAATAGACTATGATAATTAGGAGACTAAAATCTAAGTTTTATTTAAATAAGTTATAGATTAGCGTCCAGTTGTTTCGGCAACGAAACACAACAAAAGATCAATGTTAAAAACTTTGGCCATCTTTTCCAATCAAGTCATGGTTACAATTCCTTTAGTCATAATCAAATTGCGTCATACTATATTACAATGTCATCAACCAAATTATTCATAGAGCCTCACAACTGCATTTTGGTCTTTTAAATAGTTTTACTATTCGCTTATGGAAAATCTCGGTTCTTAGAAGTTTCAAGACTATGATCACTTCAGGCTAATTTATCTTGATAATCTCTATTTAACTGAAGAGAAACCGACGAAATATAATACATTCATTATATTCTTCAAACATGTCTATTCTGGGAGCAATTTTCATCACAACCTAACAGTTGAAGATTTTGGTCACTGCAAACCAGAAAGCATGACATTTTAAAACTTGAGTTCAAATTTTGTATGCTTTTCATGTAACGCGATTCCCATACAATAACATAGGTGATGACTATTTCGATCTATTTTTGAAATGGATTTTCTGAAATCTAAAAATTCCTTCTTGTTACAGCTCCGATTATACAAAAGAAAAGTCTTCACACATTCATGCCACTGGATACTGATTTGACTGTATGGGTAGTTGAATTCAATCAAAAATATTGGCCTCTAGATCTAGACTCACTCATTCAATGTTATTCCGCGTGACTGAAACCGATTCTGTATGAGGCGAAGAGTGCACTTGACTCCTGATTCCTTCAAATAATTATTGAGCGCTTCTTGGTTTTTAATGATTCCTCTGATGATGATAGATAGGGATGAAATTTATCCTTATACTTTTCTGCGTTTATTGTTTTCGTTGATGGTTACTTGAAATCCACTAACTTGACAGTAATCATATATATCTATGTTTTTATATCAAAACAATTAACATTGTTGACGTATATTCTACGTATGATTTCGTAGTCTTTATTGTTTACTTTGATAGCCCTTTCAAAAACTCCCTTGAGTTTCTCAAATCACCATCCCATCAATCATTACCAAAAATTATTAATTATTCAACGTATACGTCCGTCATGTGGGAAAGTTTGATGAAGTTATTGAATCACTTGATAAATGAAGAGCGTTTGTTTTGGCATAAAGAATTACTAAACAGAAATAAATCTAATAATTCAGAGGTTGAGACGATTGATATTAAATCTTTACTCAGTGATATTGATCATTTTTATTCGGAAGAATTGCGCCTGCTATGGAAGCAAGTTTATGAAAGTTGGGTTCCGCGTGATTATCTACAATATTTTTCAGATGAAACAAGGTATTTGATTAAATGTTCTACATCTTTATCACTAGTACATAATTAAAATAATCGATGTTTTATTTACCACTGTATTTTGTATGAATACCGATATATACAGAACAATCATGGATGAACACTTAGACGTAGTCTTTTTGGATACTAAGGTATAAAATTTGCGGTAAACGTCTCAAATGTATTCATACGTATTTTTCACATCAAGTATTAAATCATAGCAGGCTTCTAGCAATATCTGTGAGGTGTCTTCCCTTCAGATATAACAAATAATCTCAGAGGTTAATAATTAGCACCAGATATTACAACGATGGTATTTTTTACTTCAAATATAATATGATATTTTGAGATTTTATTCATATTGTGAAAATCAGGAGTAATTTACAAGGAGATATTTAAACAGCTTTGTTGTAGAACATTTTTTCCTTCACAAAACTCTAATAGAATACAAAGTATTATTTTGTTTGTGATTATTAACTCCTGTATACATGATCATTCATCGTGATATCAATTAACAAAGAGAGGAAGTAACACTGGTAGTTTAGTTTCAATAGAGATAATATTTACATTTTGCTTTGTCTAGTAATACTTAATGCCATAAAATTTCATTTTTAGAAAAGTGTTTATCAATTTAAATCTTGTCATTGAAAAATTGCTATCATTTATCGAGAAAGGAAACTATAATACATCATCATCATCACATTCACACATAGGCAATCTGGAAAATTTCGATTGCTTCAAAAGTTATTCAAAGAAGTGTTTCACAAATCAAGATAGTCGTGATAAGAATCATCGTTCAATGATTAACAGCAGATTATCTCATTCGTGTAGTTCATTGAATAAAATTCAAAACAATGGACAATTATTTAATGATCAACACTTGGAATATAATGAAAGTAAAATAAGTTTTAAACATATGAGAGAATTATTAAAACTCAGGTTAGTCATTTTTATTTTATCTCTTTAAAACATATTTTAAAAAAATAATTGCATCACCATAGATGTACTCTTATTCAATAAGGGTGTTAAGAATTACATTGGTACCTCTCAACGGTTTTGAAAATTCATTTTAAAATCGATCAAAAGCCGTACAACATTTGTAAACTATGCTTAGCTAACTTACTAAACGGGGCACTCACATAAATGAAGTGCCCAACCATTTTAAAGAAAATGAACGGTTACTGCTCAATGGAATGTGAGAACTTTCCAGATAATTTTGACAAAACTTGTTTCTACAAATAGCATGTGTTGTGTTTATAAATGTGATTGAATACTGCTGTTTAGAGATGTGATGTTGACTCATTCGATTTAACAATAAAGTGAAGTGATTAATATAGCTAGTACTATGATTTCCAAAATCACTAGTCAGTTAACTGAGTATGTGAATAAATTGGATGATTTAAGCTAACAGTCATGTACAAAATATTTAAACAATTAGCACCAACACAACTTACTCGTCAGTTAGCAAATTAATAAGCGTAAAAATGGAAATCACAAAACAATAATTGTTTACATGTTTTAACTGTAACTAGACGTTCTTTTAACATATTTTAATAATAAATACCGTGTTCAATGTGCTTTTGGTTTCTGAAATTTCAAAGTGTATTGTAATATTTTGTACCAGAATTCTTGGTGACAATCAGAAATAATTACTTGTTGAATGTTTTCCATGGGAACATACTGCAGATCTTTATTCAGACATTTCTAAGTACGAGAAAGATTTGTCGAACAAGAGTTTAGATAAAGAGATGTAAGGGTTTCTGAATTTTCAGATAGAACAGATTTTTGGCGCTTTCACTGGTTTGTATAGGTGGAGGCATGAATAAATTTTAGTTATATCTTATTATTTCTCAAGTTTTTAATATTTTATGTATTGTAGTTTTTAAATAAATAAAATGTCACATACTTTTATACACATAACGTAGCTCCCCCCTCATCTAATTATCAATATTTAATAACAATAAACAATGTATACTGATGAAATGTGAACCAACTAGTAATGCTACTAATTTTTCGACCTAAAGCCAAATAAAAATATATGCATTAAATATGTTCCTTTGGTGTTCTATTTTGCATTATTGTTGTTAGTCATCAACAGCTTCTAGAACAGATTTATCATGTGACCGAGATGGTTGGTGCTGCACTTGACACGGACATGGAGGACGCTGTCAATGGAGTACATATCTCTGCTGTCAACAATCACAAGAACATGAATGATAATCAGTCTAACAATATTACGAGCGATAAGTTAACAACGAGTGGAATGCTTACAAATCCATCAACTCCAGGTCTACAAGTTGTTGCTAAACTACTCAGTGCTATACTTGATTTAGAAACACGATTAGACACAATATGTGAAAACCAAATTATAGCAGAGAATATAACAAACTCCGAAATTACATTTGATTATGATCAATGTGGTAAAAATTATTTGAAATATACTCCATGCTTATCTTCGGATGAGACTACTTCATCGTCAGTGCAACAAGGACTAGGATTTCAGATAAAAGGTCTGCAAAACCCTAAACGTATAAAAGTGATTGGAGATATTTTACGAAATAGAAGATATAAAAGAGAACATGTCAGATCTCCTTTAGTCAATGATCATTAAAACGATTTCAGAAAAGAAAAACAAACTGATTTAGATGAATAAGATATTTTAATGGAATGTGAAAGAAATTTCTAAAAGAAAAACGCTAACTAATCAATTTACACAATTACTGACATATTTACCGACATCACAACACGGTTTACCTATTGCAAAACTTATGATGTATAGCTTATTTGTACTATAAGTAAAAAATAGGACACTACACTGACAATTTAGATCATTTTCCTATAACTAATGTTTTTTTGTTCAATTACAATAGAGAAATCCTAGAAATTGTATTGTTGAATAACAATAATTTCTGTGAAAGTTTACTTGTTCTTTTTCTTTGTAAATTTTCTTTATTCAACCCTTTTTTTCATTAAATATGTTCATTGACTGAAATGATCAGTTTCAGTCTGGAAAGGACAAGAGGCATGATGGCCTGTGTTAGTCCTGGCACAATGGTGCTCTCTCAGTTGATCCAGTTTATTTTAGTTTTCTAAATTGACAACATTTTTTTTCAAAAATAAAAAAAAATGAAAAAGTGAAATTGGATAGAAAAACGAATTAATTATATTCAATGAGAATGTTTCCCTAATTGAAATCTCGATAATACCCAATTCATCATTACAATTTATTTTTGTTTGAAAATCATGAATGAGTATTTCTGTTTATTGTTTTCAATTTATTAAGGTAAGCTAATTATTTTATTATGAAAGTTTATCTTTTATTGTTTGCTTCATATCATTCAATTAATAGTATTCATCTAATATGGCAGTAATTATAATCGTATTAGTAATAATAATAATAATAATATTTTGATAAATGAGATTTTTTGGGTTGTTATTAAAATGGATAGAAAAACCAAAATATCCATGAACAAAACGATAATCATAAAGAGAAAATAATACGCATGGAGAACTAGTAACGAATGTCAAGAAATCAGTTACTGTTTTACTAAGTTTTGTGGAACTCTATATCGGAAAAAGTAAAATCACAATATTGAACATTCTTATTTGATGAATAAATTTTTTGTAACTGTCTCTTTTATTTTGGCTAATTTATAGAAATCACTCAGTGGATTAGAGACAAACACTATTAGTTCTAAACTAAAGTTATCATAAGAGGAAAACGTTTAATCAAATATTATTTCCAACTTCCTTATATTTGTAAGTATATGTCAGCTTAGTGAACATTCAACAAACAATGTGTTAATATACTCTCAAAACAAATTAAGAATAATAAATCTTTATAAAATAATAGGAATATTCAGTGAAGATTTATTTATCATTCAAAAACGTTTGTTCTAACAATACAAAACAACTCGTGTTTATTAAATTAAACTAATGATGGTCTTATTCTCTTGATCACTATCAATCAGGTTAGGCGATTTGTAAAATTATAAAGTTTTAGAATATTGTGCTTGTTTTAAAAAAACATCAACTTTGGTTGGAAACTAAGATTATGTGCATACATCGTAACAATCTTCAAAATAGGAGCACTTTGGGCATCATCTTGTGGTGTGTGCTACATATATTGACATAAATAGAATAGGATGTTAGTCGTGAACAGAAGGTCTGGCAGCAAAGAGACAAGAGGATCGAACAGTAAAGAATGGAAACAGAAGGCAATTTGTATGAAAATGCAAGAACAATGAAGTCTGAGTTATTTTGAGAAAATTGGTGGACATTTTACAAATTAAACGTTTACTTTATGATTGTTAGATTTTCTTAACAAGTCGTGTAATTTTGTGTTAACTACGTTTGACTGCCCCCCCCCCATGTTCTGTTCACTACAATCTGACTACTGTCAGATGTTTTTTCTACAATTTGGCAATGTCAATCTAGATGAACAAGTCGAGGATACGTATACATCAATAAGTGAGTTAGTAAAATATTCCTAAAGTATACACATCATGATCGTTGGATAACAGAATTGCTATAAAACCAGGTTCAAAATAATTATGAGATAAAATGAAACCAACGTAAAAAGTTATATTCACTGAATCCAATTTTTACACCAAGATAATAGTAAATTTAGAACAATTGCTTATTTAATGGTACCAAAACATTCGATTCACAATTTCAGCATAGTTGACCAACTAGGTAAGCAGAGATAAATTATGGCTAGTAGTGAGGTTCAGGTCGCGCCTGAATTAACCTAATGTTTGAATAAAGCCAGAACAATTGAGGTAGAATAGTATGAATTCATTGTATTTCGTGGTTTCGCATCAGCTGCTGATAACCAAATTGAAGTATATATATATATATATATATATATATATATATATATATAAAGGGAGTGAGTGGTGCAATAATTAAATGAGGTCCGGAGACAGATAAGACAGATTGTGTGATTCCTGGATTTGAAAAACTAATAAGATGGGTTACCTAATAATTGAACAGGATTTAAAGAGTTTAAATAAGTTGAGAGAATTAAGTGAATGAAAGCCTATGGGTGAAGAGATGGTTTTGATGTACATAAAATAAGAATCAGTTAAGGAAAGACCACATAACAAAATAAACACTAATAAAATAATGATAATAAGAAAAATAATTTACCAAGGTAGTGATAAGTTTATTACCGTCTGCTTCTGGATATATAAATCGGTTTTGAGTTTTTTATTGCTGTTACTTTGCCAAACCGAAGAGACGCTGCGTTTTCTCATAATAATTTTAAAGGCTTGTGGGATGCCAATAACATTCCCAGTGTCAAGTAAACGCTGAGTTATTGCACTGCTTAGAGCCATTGCGCCTCTCAGATTCTTGATAACGTTCTGGGAAATGCAAACATGTACTCTTCTCTCTATTCTTCCAATGTGTGTGCTTCGACATGAACATGTAACCTAATTTTATTAAATTTAAAAAGCCCTGCAATCAATATATGTTGAAAGCTAGTTTGCTAAATCCAAAATGCTCTTTCTTAAACAAAAAAGGAGAAATCCATAGTTATAGGTGTATTATGCAAACGTTTTTGATCAAGAGGCAAAGGAAAAGTCTCAAAATACTTCGAAAAAAATATATTTTAAATTACTCGACAGCACGCTAGTTGTTTAAAACTGTTGGTATTTGATAAAATGTAATAGGAATTGGGTCAACTTCCACTTTTAAATCACTAATATTTGAGGTAAAAGTGAGTTACTTTTATACTTTCCTATATTAGTCTAGGAAAGTAAACCTTTTGTGAATACGTACGTTCCTGAAATGTTTACTTTGACAATGATGTAATCTGGAAAGACTAAGTTTAAAAAGTCAATTACAACACAGAACTAGGTAATTAGTATAAGTTGGAACTTGTGCCACACGGTTATCACAGAATCGAGTCTTAGCGTTAGTAAGTTCTATCACTCAGACTGTTCCGATTTCATTTTTTTATTGAATAGAAATTTTCTACACGTTGAAATGGCATAATTTACCACATGTCAGATTATTACGTTATTGTTAAATGATGCAGTGAATCGCTACTCATCATTGATAGTAAATAATAATTTGTTTGTTTGCACACCGTTTGATGGAGCATTATATATATTGAATTCATACAACATTCGATCATAAAGAAACTGTTATCTTGAAATAAGTTTTGCCTTGTGTTTTTGCATATTCTAGACGAGTCCCTAATAAAATAATATTTGAAAATTAGTAGTAATAAGTTAAATAGTGAAATTAAATCTTGTTTTATAACTGGTTAAACAAGAATTATTAGCAACTTTGATACAAGTAAAGATGGCTTAGTAAAGCATCCTTAAATAAAGTATTGTGATAACCTCATTCCGTTTTTTTTTGTTGTGTGTGTGTGTTCTTTTTTAATTTATGCCTAAACCTAGTTCTCTATGCAATTATACAACACATTAAAACATTTCTATTTAACTAATAATCAACCTTCATTGTCATAAATCATAATATTCACTAACAATTAAATGAATATTCATAGTTTACTACTAATTGTTCTTTATAAAATACTAAAAGAAAGTTTTATCTTAAGAATTTTATTTTAAAATTACCTTCTTACTGTATATGAATAAGAAAAAGAAATTATTAAGTCACATTTAAATTAACATAAAAAGTGAATAGTTAATTGAGTTAATGGAGTAAATTGTTAGAATTTTTATGTCACAGTTTTTACTATCCTGAGTATAAATATAAAGTTTTTTTTTAATTAAAGTAAGAAAAGTGAACTCTGTAAGTCACATTTTTATTTGTTGAGTTAAAACAGATGATTGAGGGGGGGGGAAGTGTAGAAACACTGAAAACCTAAAGTAAGTTTTATGATTAGATAAATAATTAAGAAAAGGCTTTAAATAAAAATCTATTGACTTGGATGATGTCAACACGACTAGTATGGAAGTATTTTAGATTCTAGCTTTTTGACCGCTATTTATCTTGTCAATTCATGCCATGAAATGATAATTGTATGATAAAATCATTTATGTAAAAGTATGCACTGATAGTAAGATGACATCGGCATCTGTAGTGATTAAAACAATAACAATAATAATTTCAGCAGAAGAAGTATGTTGAAACTTGAAAAAATCGTGTGATAAAATGTATATGGATAATCAGTTCAAATACTTAGGTAGTGAATATCAAATGAGGAAGAGATCAAGCGAATCAAGGGTTGATGTAAAAAATAGTCTAATCGCCTACTAGACGTTTTCTAACCATAGAGTGGATAACTTCATTACAAGTCTTTTCGATACAAAGATTAGAGTTGCTAGCTTGGATATTCATAGTCTCTCCTGAAGGTAAAAGGCGAGGTCGCATCCCGTAATTGTTGATATATGCTTATTCATAAGACTCTGTGAGTAACCTATTCCAATCAACAAGTCATGTATAAATATAGTTCCTTGTTTATGGTGCTTTCTGAGCACATTTTCCTAACTCTGTTTGAAAACCATTTAATTCAGCTTTCATTGAAGTGGATATGTACAAAACTAAAGTAATAAGCACTACCAACTAAACGAAAGTTTTCTGTACACACGTCTAGTGATAGACTCACCTTTCTATTTGAATGCCATTTCTTAT